CTCATTTTAGTGATGTTACATCATGTCAAAAAGTATCTTCCGATCTCTTACAGAAGAACTAGGTGTAATAGGCTTAATACTTGTTAAATAACCAATGAAGTGTATCCAGCATATTGATTTATTCAGAATAGTTATACAAGCCATGGTGTTAGGATTTAGTCAGCATACTTCTTAAAGTGCAAGGAACCATCTTCAACATATTTGTATCTATGCAAGAAAAACCCCAGCAGATATAATTTATACCTGCCATTGCCTGACATGTTTTAAGTACTTGGTCATACATTACAATGGAAACTGCCTGATAACTTACAGGATAACTTACAGCAGGAATTACACTCACTGTGTGCTATCTTTACAGCAGCCTGTACTTCTGTAGGTGATAGGGTTGCACTAGACAACAGCACTCAGTAAGTGTTACATTTACAGCAGCTGATCAATTACAGAAGCAAATTATAATTACTATATAATACATTTATAGCAGCTTGCCTCTGTATCAGGGGTGGATTCAGAACAAAATCTTGGGAGGGGCACTAGTATTTGACAGGAACTATAGCGGGGGACATGGGGCTGTAGTGTAGGGGACAGGGGACTGTAGTGTTGGGGTTAGGGCCTGTATTGAAGAGTTACAGGTCTGTAGTGGGTGGATAGGAGCTGTAGTACACCACACTGGTGTGTGATCCCACTGGTGCTCAGCAGAGCAGGCAGTGGTGGAACGAATGTTGTAAAGAGGGCCCCTGTGCAAGAAATAATTTTGCCCTCCCCAGCACCAGGGTGGTCAAAAGCTAGATTCCCATCTGTTTTACATATACAATGATGCATTGCCATCTGGGGATCTACAATTTGCTCATCCTTGCAGGGTTTTACTTGTGAGCAGTTTTTGTGCGTTTGGATGTAAGCATGTTTATTTATGGTGTGTGTGTGAAATGAAGGGGTCTATTTGAGTATAGTGTTGCCATTTGAATGCAGTTGCGTGTTAATACGTACTGTTGCTAATTAAAAGCAGTGGCGTATGTGTGTATTACATAGTTGAAAAGAGATTTGCTTCCAACAAATTCAGCCTTCCTCACAGCCTTTGTTTCCTGGCTAATCATAGCAGCATCATTTATGGGTAGCTCCGCCCTAATCAGGAACAGGACAGGATAAAATCAATTAAGACGGACCAGACTGGGTATAAAAGGTCCTTCCTCCTTCTATCCCACAGTTTTTTTTTTTCCTGTCCTTTCAGGACACACAGGATATTTTATTTTGGGCCACCTTCCCATGTGTACCATGGGCCTCCAGATGAAGTTCAGCCTCTCTTCATCTGAAGAACTCAGTAAACAGCCTGTACGGGCAGGACTAACTGAGTTTAGTACAGATTAGCATCTGTACTATTATGGGAGAAAAGTTTCAATCCATATTGATGTGGGATCGGCTGTTGCCTTAATAATCCCCCTTAATGGCATCTAACCCCCCTGATCTGAGGTCAGTTCTTGGGAGAAGCTAGGGTAAGTTCTTTGTTTGGGGTGCAGCTTGTTAGGTTGCTGGGGGTTATACTCTCAGTTTACTTCTGTTTCTTTCTGTTTCTTTTGTGGTGCAGATTATAGTGCTTCCTAATGAAATTTACCTGCTTCAGTCTTCTTCTTATTCTTCTTCTGTGTCAGCCTGTTGCAGGGGCTTCATTCCTCCGGTCTGTCTCTTCTGTGTTCGGCTCTCTGGTGCATGCGCAGTACCGACGGCGTCCGGCGGGTGTTCTGCGCATGCGCGGAATAGTTGCGCGCTTAAAGGGATATCACGCCAAAAATGAAAATTTTAAAAAATCTCTAGGAATTGATCCTGACTTCTTGTCTGATCTTCTGATGATAAGGAAAGCTTCCTTTTTCTTTCAGAATCTGGTTAAAAGGTAAAAATCCTATTTTATTTGTTTTTTTTATATTATTCATTTTTCTTGCTGCTTAAAATATTTCTTCTACAATAAGCATATTATTATTCTAGATGGCTTCTCCCTCTGCCTCAAGATCTCGCTCTAGAAGACACAGGTGAGGTGGCAAAAAAACAAAAAACAGTTTGAAGCACTTCCAATTTTGCAACAAACTAGGAAAAAAAAAATTCCTTCTTGACCCCAGAATGGCAGTCAGATTTATCCTTGGCTCAAGCAGTTATTACCCTACATTGAAAAATTATAACCTTGAATTTTCTGTTTTTGCAAGTATGCATCTAGTTGCTGTTTGAACATCTGTATGGACTCTGATAAAACCACTTATTCAGGCAGATAATTCCACATCCTTATTGTTCTTACAATAAAAAAAACTTTTCTTTGCCTTATACAAAATCTTCTTTCTTCCAGTCTAAAAACATGACCTTGTGTCCTATGTAAAGTCCAGTTTGTGAATAGATTTCCACACAATGGTTTGTATTGGCCCCGAATATATTTGTATAATGACATGTATTGCATTTGAATGCAGTGGTGTTTGAATGCAGGGGTGTCTTTGTGTGTCATTTTTGGTGTTTGTACATAATGTTGGTGTTTTAATACAGGAGTGTGTTTGCATGCAGTGTTGGCACTTAATAGTAGGAGTATATTTCTGTGTAGTTTTGATGTTTGAATGCTGGAATGTATGCACCTATATTATTATTATTAGTAGTAGTAGTAGTAGTAGTAGTAGTAGTAGTAGTATTTATATAGCACCAGATTATTCCGCAGCACTTTACAATACAACTATACACATCTAGGGCCACACACGGTGACACAGAAAAACACTAACACATAGATACACACATGTACCAACACTGACACAAACAGATACAAGCATATACTTCCACAGACACATACACACATATACCTTCACAGACACATACCCTGGCACACTCACAGATACACAGATACAAAACATACACATACACATGCTAGCACACATACACACATATTCCTACATACACATATATACATGTACATACACACTAGCACACACACAAATACACATAGATACCTATATATTCACACACTGGGGCACACACAGATACACACACATATACACAGTGTCACACACACAAATACTCATACATACATACATACATACACATACACATACACACAAATACACACATACCTATACATATAAACACACATAGATACACACTGACACTCACAGATACACATACATATCTACACATACACACACTGGCACAAACACACAAATACACACATACACGCACATACCTACACTGTCTGGGTGCTACTGATGGTAGTCTGAGGCTTTCTGTCTCCAATACTCCCTCCTCCCCTCTTTGTACCTATTCTGTCCTCCCTGCCCGCACAGTCTCTATGCTGGGAGGAAGTGACAGCACTCTGTGTACATAGTCAGTCCAGAGTCCTCAAGGAGGCATGGTCCTAAAACTGATGCACATGTGAGGTGAGAGCTGCACATGCAACAAATTTCCCCTTAAAAAAGCATTGAGTCAATGCTTTACTGTGGGGGCTGTTGTCACATGACTGAGTTATACTCCATTATTGCAGCTGGACGTTCCCCTGTAGGTGTTTTTAACCATGCCATGTAAACATTGCCAGTGGAGGGTTGTTTGAAAATACAATGTAAACATTGCAGTTTCTAAACAAAAATAAAACTACAAGACAGTAGTTAAGCTCCCAGCCTTAAGACAGATCCTATTAGGTAAGTTAGTGTTGGGAGAGAAAAGGATATGTACTGCTAGCCAAGGAGAGACATAGATGCGGGTTAACAGGGGGAAAGACACAGATGGGGTTTTAGACAGGAAAAAAGACATAGATAGGGGTTTACACAGGAGGAGAGACACAGCTGGGGGTTTGGATAGTAGCAGAGATACAGATTGGGAATTTGGAAAGGAGGAGAGATGCAGAAGGGGGTTTGGACAGGATGGGAGACATAGATGTGTTTGTTTACAAGAGGAGAGACACGTGATTGAGGGTCTGGACCAGAGGAGATACACAGACTGGGTTCGCACAGAAGGAGTGGCACAGATGGGGGTTTATTTTGGAAGAGGGACACAGCTGAAGATTTGTATAGGAGAAAATACACAGATCAGAGCTTGTACAGGTGGAGAGATGTAGTTGGGATTTGGAGGAGGAGACACACCGATGCGGTTAACAGGAGAAGACAGAAATTGGGTTAACAGGAGGAGAGACACACATAGGGATTTGGAATGAAAAATATAAATATTCCATAATAGAGCTTAACAGTGCATTGTATGATATACTGTAACACAGAATCTTATGAAGATTATGAAGGCATACAAAATGTGTCCCGTAACCTAGTGCCTATCCCTGTAACCTAACACTAACACTTGAGATGATTTGTGCTCACATTACTTTAATAACCTACCCTAGAGTTTCCTAATCCCGAGGGGATGGTTAGTACACACTAGTCAACCCTACTATATATTCTCTAATATCAGCTCTACATTATCCTCTATCTTCGACTCTGTCATAAACTCTGCTATTATGAAAGTATCTGTAGTGACAATAAATTATTGTTCTTAAATTCGTAAATTAAATTCTTAAATATGGCACTTTTTTATTTTGATGGCCCTATTTAAAAAATAAAATAAAATGTACAATTAAAGGCAGAAATAGGTGCTAGTGAATGAATTCACAGAAAAATGCAATTGTTTTCACTTGTATTGTAACTTAATTTCCACACTTAATAAATATCTGTCTGGGCGTGGTTTGGGCTCTGACCAAGATGGCCACTTAACTCCCGAGCTCCGCAACACCTATCCCCTATATAGTGCTACATGTTAAGTTACAAAGTGCAAATGGGATGCACCTGTCACCCAGAGCCTCCGCAGACCCTGAGGGGATCCCAGCCTTGTCCTCCGACTGGCCCCATGGACACGGGCAGGGGACGAGTGGGAGCTCTAAAATGGCGCCAGCCTCACCTTCCTCCCCAGCGAGATCTGAGTATTCTGCCCTAGAACGAATTAGATAGGATCTACAATGCATGGCAGCATCTTTTGTCCACGAAGGTCAATCTCCAAACACTTACCTCCACGATCCAGAATGCTGTACGGGCCGAGATGGCCAGGGATCGGAATGAGGTAGCCATGCATAAAGGCCGCATCGTGGTGCTGGAGTGCTTGGCTGAGGCCCAGGCCGCAAGAGTCGCTTCATCTGATCTGGCGGTGGTGCGGCAAGGGGAAGTGTTGCCATGAGATGACACATAGAAGACCTGGATAACAGAGGCCGTAGGTGTAATATTTGGGTCCGAACCTTCTAGCCATCCTATCCCCCAACTTTGTCTCCGGGTCCGGGGTATGTGGTATGGGGGTCCGGGGTATGTGGATAACAATCTGGTATTTCGATTGAGACTAGCACTTAATTTATTGCTATGTAGCAATTTAGTTTATCATATGTATAACATATGGTGGGGCGGGGGTGTTGATTTATGTTATTCTGATACGATAGTGGTGCGGGTCCTAAAACACGATGTTCATGGTGGCGTGTTGGAGGAGGTCGTTTCTTGGGCTGTTTACCGGGCAACTCCCTAGCATTTCTCATCATCACACGAGTTCCCTCTCATTTAGTGGGTGGATTTTTTTGATCATGTTAATTGGTCATTCATGCTGGCTACGTTGAGGAGCATGGGACTGGGCATGCGGCTAGCCTGGATCTCAGCCTTATATAGTAGACCACGTGCATCAGTGTGAGTTAACGGGGCCCTAACGACTGATTTTGGTATTAGCAATGGAACCAGGCAGGGCTGCCTCCTACCCCTGTGCTGTTTGCTGTGTCTTTAGAACCACTTCTTCAGGCATCCAGGACAAAACCCTATCTTACAACATCTACTTAATGCAGCTAAGGCCATGATTCCAGCTCTTTGGAAACAGACTGACATTCCATCAAGGGAGTCCTGGCTGCACAGGGTTGAGGCTATACAGGCAGCTGACGCCTGGCAGTCGTGGTTTGTGTACATGGTACGTGACTTATAAGGTATGCTTGAGAACTAAGTGATGAAGATTCGGCCGGTGGAGGGGCTGGGGAGGGACAATACCTGCTTTCTATTTCTCTTCTCACCTCTTTATAACTCTTCTGTTCATTGCTCATTCTGGCAGGCCTAATTTACCTGAATTATGACACCACTGGTAAACCTGGTGCCGTAACTTTAACTTTGGTAGACCCCCAATCATCGGGATGCTAGTTTCGCAAGAGTAATGTAAGAGGAAATGTCACAACACCATAGTCACTCATACAATGGTTACAGAAAAGTATATTGCTGTGCAACATATAAAGAGAATTGACACTGTGAGCTGTGATATTTCAACTTAAATCGTGACAACTATGCATATGACTGTGAGGCCTGCATGCTCTCTTTTGTTTCTTTGTACTATTTTGATACTTCTTAAAAATCTAATAAAAACAGATTTGAAAAAAAAATCTGTCGTTCAACGATATTTATATTACCATTCAGTACTGAAAGATACAGAAATAGAAGAAATGTGTGTTTTGTTCCTTAGAAGTTATGCTATACTTACTTTCTTGGGTTGCCCGAAAGTCCAATTTATTTAACAATTGCATTCAGTATTTTTTTTCTTTCTATTCATACTTAGATTTTAACTGTTCACAATTAGATCTTGATATCCCTACAATTTTAACTACTTGGCATTTGATGACACAAGTGAGAAACCTTGCTTTAAGTTAATGAGAGGTTATCAAGCATCTCCTTGAAGAAGAGAGGGTTATCAAGTGTCATCTTTCAGAAAAATGTGTTTATGAAATATGTATGTAACAGCTTTAGCATGAAATTCTTCCCACACTGATCTCACATCTCATTATTAGTTCTCTGGAAATCATTGATCATGGTGAGCATTTTCATGTTATATCAATTTACAAGGATAGCTAGATAAGATAAATGTAATTTCCTCTGGTGTAAATGGAAAGTACACTCTAAACACCATTTCCATTGCAACTTATTATACTTATTAAGTCTTGAGTGTACTCCTGTTTTTGTTACATTTGCATGGATAATCAGAAGGTGAAAATCACATGCTTAGGGCTCTGGGAGAGCCCTGGATTTGGCCTCACTGCTTAAAAAAGACAGGACTACATCCAAAGACTCATTGGTCCATAATCACAACAAAGCTTTGAGCATTTCTTTAACAAAGTCTCCATATTTATTAACCATTTAAAGTAGAACACCTGTCCATGTAGGATAGGCCTCAATAGGTTTTTTGGGGCATTATGCAAAAATACAAAAGGTTGATATTAGAAATGCAAAACGATTCAAATTTTTGCTCAGGGATAGTAATGTCCAATTTAAAATTTTAGATGTCTTAAGTCACTGAATATATTTATTACAACTTTTTTTTTACAAATGTATTTTCAGCTCCCATAGAATCAAGTAACTGTCACGGCCCCCGGCTCGCCGCCATGTGCGTCCGTGCCCGACCGGCACGACCGCACCAACTCACTGAGCTTACCTGCTCAACGGTGAACCGGGAACCGTTCCTCCACGCCGCCCGGGGAAATCCAAGATGGCGCTGACCATGAGGTCGTGTCCATCCATGGCTCAACCCCCCAAAATTATACGAACGTGCTCGTAACGTCACAACATCAATGCACGCGCACGTTCTGGGGTCAGAGGTCACCCTCTGACCAATCAGAGCCTAGAGAGGGATATTTAAATCCCTAATTCACTCCAGTACCTTGCCCTGTCGTGGTTTCCTGTTCTTGGTTCCCTAGAGTGCGTTTATCTTTGTGAATATTACTTCCTGGTATCCTGATCTTGGCTTTTCCCTGGTTATTCCGAATTCTGGTTCCCCTGACTTGGCTTGTTTAAACGGTATCTGAGTATTTCTGGCTTCCTTGACCTCTGCTTTTCCTTTGACCATTCTCTATCTCTAGCGTATTAGTCTGGCCATTCTAAGGTCCTGTTTACGCTCTGTCCTTTTATTTCCTTTCCTTTTGTATGTATATGTTTACATAGTTTCTGCGTGTTGGACCACAGTAGCAGCTGTGACATTACGACAGGGCCATGGATCCTGCAGAACTATGTAAACATATGATAGCCTATGAGAACAGGGTGGAGGATATGGACCACAGGTTAGATCAGTTTGCCCAAGCATTCCAGACTTTGCTCCAGAGAGCTGCTTATCTGGAGGCACCTCCGGTACCACCTGTAGTTCCGCCACGTATACCTGAAACTGTAGTATATAAACCTCCATCCATAACCCTTTCACCTCCCCCTTATTTTGGAGGTGATTCTAAAGAATTCAGAAGTTTCCTTAACCAAATTGAATATCATTTCGAGGCTTCCCCTGGTTCCTTCCCTACAGATAGGTCAAAGATTGGCTATCTTATGAACCAATTAATAGGCAAGGCCTTAACCAATTCCTTATGGGAGAGTGGAAATCCAGTTGCCTGTGATTATAATGAATTTTTAACGGCATTTAAAGCCACTTTTGAGCCAAAGGGAAAAGAGAAAAACGCTGCCAAAGCCTTAATGAGAATAAAACAAGGCACCTGCTCTGTAGCCGATTACGCCATAGAGTTCAGAACATAAGCTTCTGAGGTTGACTGGACCAATAATGGTTTGGTGGCTGATTTTTTGGAAGGTTTAGCGGAAAATATACAAGATGAAACTGCTGCCAGAGACCTTCTGGTTAATCTTAATGATTTTATTGCATATATGATTGACATTGACAACAGGCTCAGAGAGAGGGAGAAAAACAAACTGCGTACTAGACGTACAAACTTGTCTATAGCACCTTGTTTCTCTAACCCAGTGACTGTTAGTCATGCTCCACCTGCAGAAGCCGAACCCATGCAATTGGGCATTACCAAACTGACTGAGACGGAGAGACAATACAGAAGCAACGTTCGGGGACCGACCTTAGGTGTGATGTATATGTCCCCTAAATTGACTAAGAACTGCTTTCTTATAACAATCACTCTGTTTTGTAAGAAAACTACTGTTCAGTGTGAGGCCATGATTGACTCTGCGGCAGCGGAGAATTTCCTTGATAAGGAATTTTCTGCCAAACATCTTCTGCCTTTAAGGCAGAAAGACAGACCCATAGCAGTAGAGGCTATCGATGGGAGACCTCTTACTCAACCTCTCATCACACACAAAACTATACCAATCACTGTCTCAGTAGGTTTCTTACATTCTGAAGAAATGGTTTTTCAAATTACGTCTTCCCCTACATGTCCAATAATACTCGGTTTCCCTTGGCTCCAGAAACACAATCCATGTCTAGATTGGGTTGATGGAGAGATTGTGAGTTGGGGAAAGAGTTGCAGAGGTCATTGCTTAAAACAGGTGCCTAAACGAATCGGTACCATCAATCTACCTATAGCACCTCCCTTAACCACAGAAATCCCACCGCAGTATTTGGACTTAAAAGAAGTATTTAGCAAGGTTCAGTCAGAGCTATTACCTCCACATAGGCCCTACGACTGTGCCATTAATTTGTTACCTGGCTCTATGCCCGCTAAAGGAGGAGTTTATGCACTTTCTCCTCAAGAAACCCTTTGTTTAGAAGAATACATTAAGGATGCTCTCAAAAAGGGTCACGTAAGAAGATCCTCTTCACCTGCTGGGGCTGGGTTCTTTTTTGTTTCTAAAAAAGAAGGAGACTTATGCCCTTGTATTGATTATAGTGGTCTAAATAAAATTACGATTAAAAACGCCTATCCCATTCCCCTTATTTCTGAGCTATTTGATAGGTTGAGGGGTGCCCGAGTATTCACAAAACTCGATCTGAGGAGCGCATACAACCTAGTCAGAATTAAGGAAGGGCATGAGTGGATGACCGCATTAATACGAGAATGGGACATTATGAATACCTGGCCATGCCGTTTGGCCTTTGCAACGCCCCAGCGGTATTTCAGGACTTGATTAACGATGTCCTTAGAGAATATCTTCACATATTCGTACTAGTGTATCTAGACGATATTCTCATCTATTCCCCAGACGTAGAAACTCATCACGAACATGTGAGAATCATACTAAAAACACTGTTAAAAAATGGCTTATACTGTAAGCTGGAAAAATGCCAGTTTGACCAGACTGAGATACAGTTTCTTGGCTATGTTATATCCCCTTCTGGTTTCAAAATGGACCCACACAAACTGGAAGCAGTCTTGCAATGGCCGTTACCCAAAGGCCTTAAAGCTACCCAACGCTTTATAGGTTTTGCAAATTATTACCG